GTGAGGAATACTTCTGGAAATGTAAGAAAATCTAACAATGCGATCTAGGTGGACTGCAACTCTTATTAAAGATAAATCGCAACCCCCTAATTATTAATATAAGAATAATCTTTGCCATATATATATATGGTAAAGTATCTAGAAGATTTAAATTAATCTTGAATTGTATTAAAATGACCTTAAGGCCATACTAACATATATGAAAATAAAACGTTAATACTGAACAAATTCGGTAAACATTCTGATTATACCGAATATTTGCAGGACTGAAATCTTTAACTTAAATTCCAGCATCAAATAGACTTCACATTTAGGCAGATAAACGAAAATTTCATGCCAACTTGGTCGCCCTTGTTCACTATAGTTTTACGAACATACTTCATTCTAATCTTTGTTGGAGTTCTCTTACTCCCCCATCACTGGGTTTGCATCACCTCTGCCTGACGAGTCTGTTTTCCATACCATTGGTTTGTCAGAATTGGTGTTTTCATTCTCCTGCCAACACCGAGTTAAAGAGAAACTTCCGGCCATTATGTAGTGCCTAGTCCTCTTATTCCAGTTTGCATGCTCCCCTCCAGCCTGAAATCTGGTAATCTGTCGTCAGGGGTAAGCACATTTCTAGGAATAATCATTAGTGATCCACAGACCAGTCTGCTTGTTTGCATATAGAGGATTTCTGTCATTCTCCGTTCTCTTGTAGCATGACTGGCCACGAATGCAGGATCGGAAAATAGCTACATCTTAAGATTGTGAAAGCTTCTTGACCAATTCCTGCTGTTCTCTTTAACGCTGATTTTGAGTGGCACAGGCTCAAGATCGGGAGCTAATTTTGTGCTGCCACTTGTTTGGAAATTCGTCAGCGGACTGGACCTTAAGTGATGAGAACACGATAAAAACAGGAACCTTGCCTTAGCCCAACTTTGTTAAAGGGGGGATCATTTCATAATTGTAGAGGTGATTCAAAAAAACTAAATGCACTTTGCCCATTTAGAGGAGAAACTCAAGATTTTCTCCAATCTATTTGCAACAAATTAACAACTAGCAACTTTGCATTCGTGGCTTGGATCACAAATGTAATCATCACTCCAGGAACTTTCGAGCGCTAAGTACGTGTCTAATCTTTGCGGACTAAGTTAGGTATATAACTTAATACATGAGCCCCTAGAGGGTGAGGAGTTTTATTATCTGGTCTATCATTCAGTACCGCATACATAAACGGTGGAGGCCCACAGCTATGTTGGCCTATCGCTTCAGACAGAGGGGCATTCTTGCAGTCTCGGACAGCTTTATCCTACTTTTGGCCGTTGGCCAGCTGCTTCTTATTAGCCTTCGAAGTTTATCTTCTTGCTGGTGGACTGTGAATATTCCCGACTATCCTGATCTTCAGACTAACTGGACAGACCGCCTGCTTACTTTGGCCCGAGAAGAGCTGGTACTCGCTGCTAGACAAGTTGCAGTTACGGCGGAAAAAAAAGACGACGCTCCACTAAGGACAACTGAAAGCCCGGTAAGTAACACCCTTTATTATTTAGTAATGATAAAGAGACACAAATTTAATTTTTTTAAGGAAAGCATTAATAATTTTCTAAGCCATATAATATAATCAAGGCATAAAGTAAGCTTGATTCATACAACAATCGAGATTTTCAGCTGGATATTCTCTATCCTAAGGACCATAGCATTAAATTCGCAAGTTATAGGCTAGCATAACCAAAAATACTTATAAGAATGCTTTTAATTAGCTTAGGCTGGCGAAATGTCGTCTGTTCAATTGTCTAACTTTGATGACCATAATGACTTTCAAAAATATAAAGGCTCACTAGTGCAGATGGCAGAGTAAAGTAAGAACCATCATTTATAATACTATTTCCTTGTTTTTCGAGCTCTAATAATATGTGAAATGTGAAAAGGGGCAAAACTTATACTCATTTTTTGCTCTAGATTTGTTAGTTATCTATTGTTGCATACCTATCTGAACTCAGATTTCAGCTCTAGTCAGCATTTTCTTGCCATGGCTTATTGGTTATCTATTCAGCAAGATTACGACATAATGTTGTAAGCATGAAATCTTGCCGTTTGGCTAAAATTACTTATATTATAACTGCAGAAGTTTATTCGTAAACTTCTTCTGTTGAATATATGAAAACCAAGATTTTGTGGCCTCTGTTATGGTTATTTATAGTAGTGGGTCGACCTCATTGTCGCAACTTGGTCTTGTTGTCATGGGGACTCTGTAGAACGCACCTAGTCCGAAGTCGCCTGCCATAGTAGTAGATAAATAAACAATGACAAAAAGAGCAGTGATAGTGTAACCGTTTACGGTAGAACAGTTGTCGAGGGATTGACTTCACTTGTCTCTTTGACGAGTTCGTAGCTTGGTGCGGAGAACGGCAAAGCTCATCGATGATGCAGACTCACTGGTGGCGAAACGTTTGAGAATGTATCAAGTCCACTGTCAGGTTCTGAGAATCATGACAACTACTATGGCAGACGGCTTCGGACTAGGTGCGTTCTACATATTCGCCCTGACAACAAGACCAAGTTGCGACAACGAGGTCGAGCCACTACTATTTTTCCGTTAGCTCATTAGGAGCCATTTTACACAGAACTTTGTGAAAACTCAATTATTGGTCTTATAATCACCCTAAGCGAACTAGGGTGACTAAGCTTTTATACAGAATTAGCGGTTGTCTCAAAACGTGCTTATAACAAAAATACAAAACGTCGTCGATTGATTGAAAAATATACTGATATATGAATGGGAGAGGCTTGGCTTACCTTGATTTTCGCATATGTATTGTAAACCACTGGCACTCGTGACTGTGAAGTGGATTGGTAAAGTCGCCATGACATTCACGACCCGGTATATAACTTGGTTGAGGATGCTGATGAGACATTGTTGAGGTCGGTATAGCCTTTTTGGAGGCGAGGTTAAGTAAAATTCAATCACATCCTGAGGCCTACTCATATCAATGTGGGGAAAGTCAACTATCACTTCACCATTTTATGCAAAAGATAAACTTCTCTTAATAAGGGAAGAATACCGATTCATTAATTACTAGTTTAAGAATTTCGTAATTTGATGTAGGGTATCAGTTATGATTGAAACGTGCCTTAAAGGCTCTCAGGTCGTATGGCCAAAGAAGTATCTCGTTATCTTTGGCGTTCTAAGTCTGAACTGTTGATTCTTCCAGGGTAATCTACTATAGATTATGCTTTTTTGACGCACTAGATTTGTTAGAGTGATTAGTAAACGATCTCACCAGAACAGGATAGCGAATTCTCTTTGACCCGCTGTTGTTTTTTTTCGATACCGGGACAATTAGACTGGTGCAATCATAAATGCAAATTCCCTAATTTGCTGTGAATAAATGCTTAAATGCAGTCTATCATATGGCAAACAATCACAAATAAACACAATCGCTATAGCAACTCGTGTTAGCAATGAGCCTTGGAAGCTAATGAGTATATAATATAGTTATCTTCATACTAAACTTAAAAATGGTATACATTAAAGTGATTTGCCTATATGTCTGTCCCTCACACAATATGTGTCAATCATATGATATAGTAATAAACCAACAAAGATATTTGATTGGCTGGTCCGAGATGGAGAAGATGCTCTCGCGAGTGGGGTTGTGAGCCTAAACGGGCAGAAGTGGGTTGTCCTCGTTGTCGCAACTTGGTCTTGTTGTCAGGGCGACTTAGTAGAACGCACCTAGTCCAAAGTCGTCTGCTATAGTAGTTGTCATGATTTCCAGCATAAGACACTGAATAGAGGTTGTTTGACCTTGGTTTCGCAACATGGTCATATTGGTAGGAAGACTTATTTGAACGCACTCAGTCCGGGGGCCATTGTCTGCATGATCATTTCCAAAGTTGAACCGTGGACGTAGTACATTGGAAATGATCATGCAGACAATGGACCCTGGACTAGGTGCGTTCCAATAAGTCTTCCTACCACTATGACCATGTTGCGAAAACAAGGTCAAACAACCTCTATACAACGAAAGGAGACTGCGAACACTCAAAAGGCCACATCATCTTGGTCTTCATACCTTCGAACGAAATATGGAACTAATATTGTCAGACACTGAACTTGGTACAATCTCAAACAAGAACTAGCAGAACACATCGCACAGACTGGACACGAGATCAATTGGAAGGCAACAGAAAGAAGAGCTCCATACGGATGCAACACAAGGAAACGCAAGATTAGGGAGACCGTTCACATCCTTGGGGATAAAAACT